TTTTTTCTAGTGTGTGTGTGTGTGTGTGTGTGTGTGTGTGTGTGTGTGTGTGTGTGTGAGTGTCTACAATCCATTTCCCATTGGCCAGCAGTGCTTTTATGGAAGAAAATTGTTTGCACCTATTTTTATACATCGATGCAAACATTTTAGCCCTGGCGATGGAAGGTGATCGCTCTACTGTACATCCAACGACCCATTTCAAGAATGCTTGTTCATACACGTACATTCTGAGGTCGCCTTCAAATACAATAAACCCCGCATGAACACATCGACATATCAATTGGATACATGTAATGCATTCACACTGCCAGATTAATTTTTTTTTAATATTTTGGCGCGTAGGGGAAATGGATGTAATGTCGGCCTAAATGCCCCTAATTACGACCCATTCATAAATTCAGCAATTTACTAAATTTTCAAAAGTGACCAAAAATATCCATTAGTACCGTCCCAATGACGCGTAAAACTAGATAAAATTGATAAATAGCAGATGTTTAGCGATGGACCAAATCTTAGATCCATACGCCAGCTTTGGAGCCATTTCCCCTATTTAGTATAAGCAATGTTTGTATAAATATGAACAATAATTTAAAACGATCTCATCAAATTTCGCTCTTCTGTCCAATTTTCGTGTCTATTTGTCGTTGTCCTTCTTTGCATCACTGCTAGTTCCTGAAAGTCTCCCATGTCATTTCTGATGTGATCCAGGATATATTGACGTCCACATTTTTAGTGTGATGATCTTGAGTTCTTAGTTGCGTCTTATAAAACCGTAACACGAGCATCATTCCATGTTCGTATCGCACGTGCTTAATTTCGCAGCTCTCCTTATACTTTTAGTTTGTTGACTCCATGGTACCGGAAAAGATATACATGTATACATTATTAGCAATGATGTGACATAACCACCACGGGATGGCCGTTCAGAATGGTTTAACGAATGTGAAATGAAGGAACATTTAAATTTAACACGATTTTAAGTATTTCAATGCAACATTACATTTGGTCACTGACAATTAACACATTTTTCAATATGTTATCGTAACTTATTTCTGGAAGAATTTACTTGTGTTTTATACCATTAGTATCAATGGTCCGTCATATCTTTTCTTCAAGTGATCTTCGCAAGCGCCACATTTCGTTCAGGCTCTTTGGAACTACATGTGATGAAATATGAAACGCACCTTTTAAAGTGAATTGCACATAGCAAATTTCATCACTTACTCACGCATGAAATCTGTCTCGACCAACCTGGCAAAACGCGCCCGAACCCTCACTGAACCAAAGGGCAGGGATAATGCCTGATAAGTTTGAAGTATTGAAAAAAATATTCAGAAGGCTTTCATAAGATCTTTGGTATCTTGAAGGTGAAAGAATATCCAATAGGCATGATTTGAATTCATGAACAGTTCTAGATCTTCAGGATAATATTTTGTCATTGTGCAGTCTTGGAAAAATCTACAGAGAGCTTCATTTAGATCTTTGAAATCCTGAAGGTCTTTTGAATAATTGCTGAGCAGCCTGGTATCATGAAATAATATTTTAGCGACATGGTTTGAATTTCTGAACAGTTCTAGATTTTCCGTATAATGCCTGCTCAACCAACAATTTGAGCTGAATAAAGGCTAATAAGCTATATTTTACCCAAAGAAGCATATTTCTACCATAATCAGTTCTTATTAAGCTTTCAATGTTGGCTCCTGAAGTATTGGAAAGATATACAGCGATTATTATTAAGATCTTTGGAATCTTGATGGCCTATGGAATAATTTCTGAGCAACCGGGTCTCATGACAGAATATTTGGGAGACGTGATTTGAATTGTTGGACAGTTCTAATCATCCTGAAGTCTAGGAAAAACATCCAGAGGACCATATTAAAACCTTCGAAATTCTGAATAGCAATGTCGCCCATTTGAAATGTTTGCACTGATTTTGTTGCTCATGCATATATGAGTGTGAGAGAGATAATAGAAGATTTTTGTTTGGCTGCGTATTTTTATCCGAAATCGGCATATTAAAGTGAAATCCGAGGTAATTGAGGTTAATACGACTTGATGCTTAGCAAAATCAAGGATAATTCAAGATTGACGTAGTATCCTCGATGGAGCTTACCGCTATTAGAATTTCAATCGATGTATAGTAGAGGACTACTTCGGCCTAATCGCCTTATTTTGGCCGATCAGGAAATATCAAATATATCCATGATTTCAGCGTAAACGAGTCAATTATATGTTTAGTACGATACAGTAAAGCAAAAGCTACTAACTGAAAATAGTATTTCGTTACTTCTGTTATTCTAGATTCGTTAAAACGGTTTTCGTACATAAAACACATTTTTCGTAAATTGAACGTATTTCCAGTCAATTGTCCTTATATTACACCCTATTCGTCAACTGTCTAATATTACACCCTATTGGTAAACTGTTGTTCTTCTTGTCTTTCATGTCTTGTCATGCTCATGTTGTGATGTTGGAGATAAGATTTCAAGGAACAGATTGTATATCTGTTGCTAATGGAGGGAAATTAATTTTCATTGTAAGTAATACAGGCCTTCTGGATAATGTCATTACTCAGTACCCGTTTGCATTAGTATGGTTGTGCCCTCTTCGATCATGCGGATGGCGATAATTATCAATTCAAGCATAAATATTCAAATCGACGTATCCACTTTTGTGTTGCTGACCTAAATGACGTTAAGATTAGCTGCTGGTACTTGCTAACCTGCAGGATCCATCCCTTTAAACATAGTGTTCGTGCAGGCGACTACTACTGCCTCTACCCTTAACATAAAATAGGTACTGTGCCTACCCATAGATGTCACCACTTGTCCCCGTATCATTGTTATAGCTTATTATGTTACAGTAAATAAACGTCTGTAGTACTTTTACCTCCGCCATGGCAGGACGGTCAGTAAATCTATCGTGTAAATCATTATTTTCTACTATCACACAACGTACAAATTGGGTCCTATCCGTGCGCGATCACATAGTGATACAAATTATAAAAACGGATCTCAATCCTTAAAACAAATAGCTAACGATTTGCTTCCTTCTGTCAAAATGTGTATTTTCAAAGCACATACAGCTTTATAAAACATCAACAAAAAGGATAAAGTTATGGTAAAAACGCCATTTTAGTGGGTACTACCGTTTGTAAAGGGTGTCCACGATGAAATTGCCACACACAAAATTGATTCGCAAAATTCGAGTTTTCATCCGATTGCCATCAAATTTTCAGGGATTGAGAAATAACTATTAAACTTCATTTTACCATTTTACTCGTATTTTATTTACAGTCCATACGCAAATGCCCGCACCTTGGCCTTAACTCCGGCCATAAGATTCTGCACAACCTGTGAATCAACCGTTTTTTGCATGTAAACTCATACTTTCTTAAGTTCCTCGACTGTCTTCACTACCTTAGGTCGTTTAAGAAGGTGCTGCTTCATTATCGCCCAGTACTTCTCGATGGGGCGGAGCTCCGGAGTGTTGGGAGGGTTGAACATTTCCGGCACGAAATTGACCTTATTGTCCGCATACCACTTCAGCACGTCCTTGGAGTAGTGGCATGAGGCCAAATCCGGCCAGAAGATTGTTGGGACGTTGTGGGCCTTCAGGAGAGGAAGTAGCCGCTTCTGGAGGCACTCTTTTATGTACACCTGTCCGTTCATCGTGTCCTGGGTCACGAAAGGTGCACTCCGCTTCCCGCACGTGCAGATGGCTTGCCAAACAAGGAATTTCTTCGTAAATTTGGACATCTTCTGAGTGCGGACATGCTCCAGAACGCTGAACTTATCCTTGGCCGTGAAAAACAGGTTGCCGGGGATCTGTTTGAAGTCGGCCTTCACATATGTTTCGTCGTCCATGATGCAGCTTTCAACTTTCGTCAGCATGTTGAGGTACAACTTCTTGGCACGGGTTTTGGCGGACTTGTTCTGCTTCTCGTCGCGATTAGGGGCCTTTTGTACCTTGAATGTTCGAAGCCCAGCCTTAGTTTTGGCCTTCTGGACAAAACTTCGGCTTAGGTGCAGCTTCTTAGCCACATCCCTAACGGAGGCGTTCGGATTTCGGTTGAAGGCCCCAACTACGCGGTTGTGATTTTTGGTGTTGTACGGAATACTTTTTCCTTCTCTTTTGGGCTTCCGATCGGTGGTCAACCGTTCCTCGAACCGCTTAATCACTCGCGACACCGTGGAATTCGCGATTCCCAACGTTTTAGCGATGGAACGATGCGAGAGATCCTTGTTCTCGTGATGAATGCGCAAGATTTTATCACGCACGAGCTGTTCTTTCGACTCCATTTCCGCGAGTTTTGATCACAGGACTTTAAAACTTGCAGGATGTAAATAATGCACTATGAACTAAATCCACCCAAATTTTCATTAAATTCTACCCAACGGTTAAAAAGTTAGAGCAATTTCATAGTGTGGCAATTTCATCGTGGACACCCTTTACTCCATTTTCACCCTATAACTTCATCCACTTCAGAGGTAGAAACTTTTCGTCTTCAACAAAGTTCCTCAAAATAACTTCATCTTCAATGTTTCCATAGTAGGTTATTAATTTTAATGAAACATAAAATAGATTTTATTATCTAAGTGTAAACTCCAATTTTTCACTAGTCAAATAAAGTACTTACAAAATGACGAAGCATTCTAGAAGACATCACAATGCTACACTCAATAGTTTCAACGCAAATAACTATGTCCCTTTTTTTTATTTCGTCCCACTGTGCATTAGAACGAAATTAGAATACGTTGGCCGAGTTTGGAATCAAGAATCAGTGATACATTTTTAACAATATTCCAACAATTTGCCACTCTTCATAAATTCTTACGGTAATTAAATTTGGAAGTCATCTATAGTAGAAACATTCCATTTTGTGTTAAAATCCGCTCGGAAAAGAGAGCTTAAGTGTGGGTTGTGCTCAGTAGACCCAAAATTAGAACTAAATCCTATACCTGTAAACTATATTTCCTCATTCATTGCTTTCATTTCAGATGCTTCTTCTAACGCTACTACTGCTACCCATCATGCATGGAGTACTTTCCGGTCAGGTCCCCGTTAATGGAAACTTTTTCGAGCTGCTATTCGACGAGACCAGTTTCTTCCTGCGTAATGACACTGTAAAACGTATCCCTGACACCAATCACTTCCTGAAGGAGTATGATTTCATCGTGATTGGCGCCGGTTCAGCCGGATCGGTTATAGCCAACCGACTGTCGGAAATCAAAGGTTGGAACGTGCTGCTACTGGAAGCGGGCAAAGACGAAAACATGCTGACCGATGTGCCTCTGACCGCTGGACTGACCAGCATTACAGGTAAATAGGTGGATATATTTTCGTTGCAAGCATATTCGCAACAAGACAGAGCTATCCAATATAAAATCCAACGATCGATTTAAACCTATACTGACAGCAGGTCTGGTGTTTGCAACATTTGTAGTGCCTTTGCGAATTTATTTATAAAAACTTGTTCGGCGTTGCCAATGAATACACATATAAAGCTCGGTTCAGTATTTGTAAGATGAATTCCTTTTCCCCACCAACTATTATGGACGACGCGCATGGCAGTCATGGCACTGTGTTCGTTTGTGTGACGTGGATGAATCGAATGTAGCGTTCATTTCATGAAAGTGATCTCACCTCTGCACACCGACCGGTTGAGGAATATCGTTATGCACATGAAAACGATGTGCTGCTATTGAGGTACCTACCTGGGCTGTAGTGTATAGGTATAGGCATAACTGTTTGGTTTGTTTTGTTTCATTCGATTTGTTTTACTACTGATGGTGTGTGCTTCATATTAATGTAGAATTTACTAGTGCTAAAAATGGGCAATCGTTGGGAAAAGTATCCCCATGTAAATTCCATATATTCTGTTTCTAAATTACAAGTATGTATTGTTATATATCTGTATGCCATATTCAATTATATGGCAAAGCTGATCAAGCTATTTTTAATACAATGCAATGTTCATGTTCATTTTATTAAAATCCAATATTGAACCGTCATTAAGGTGCGAAGACTGTCATTTCAAAGATTCCCGATCTGCCAGCCACCCAAAGTTAAGCCGCCCGTGGTACTAGAAGAATAATTACTCACTGTGATTGTTGAGAAGAGTTGGTTAAATGGTATCGTAGTCAACTTCCCCGCACTGTCGTTATTTTTACTGAAAATTTACTTTGCAAATAAGTTTTTGCGTCAAATTTTTTATTCAGGAATCCCTAGTTTAAATAGTTAATGTCTTGTATAAATGCAATTTCATGTTTTATGAGAGGGATCCTCCTCACCCCACATTATGATTTTCAATTTCAATTTCAAATTCAATAGTCTAATTAAAGGTTCTGTTTTCAATACCATTAGTTTATAGTTATATCTTTTTTGCCGGCATTTATAACGACATTTGCAATAAGTAGCGATTAATTAGTCGCCGTATTAAACAGTTCTGCCCATAAATGGACCGTCATATATCATACAAGTTTACATAAAAGATCGTATAAATTTATGATTCATTTCGTGAAATTTTCTAGATACAGTAATCACCTGACTTTGTCAACCCCTTTGCGCTTCACACTTTCATCTGTCAATAATTTAACATAATCGTAACTCCAAATCTTTCTTATTGATCTCCAAGATGGATGCTTAAGGTATACTTTTGTGCATTAAGACTACTGAAAAAGCGCGTGGGTTTCGTAGAACATTAGAAAATATTTTCAAAAAGTATATAATTTTTATCGATAATTTCTTTTAATTTACTTGTTGCGTGTAAGGATTTGCATATTTATACGCATGGATGTTTAATGCTCTTCGAAAAAATATTCAGATTTTTTATTCCGTGTTCGTAACGCATAAACATTATCGAACACCTTGTTGCAACTAAATCCTGATCTCCTTTTTTCCCACCATTGATGAATCTAACCACCCGCTTGTATTTCATCTCGTTTTAGGTTACAACTGGGGCTACAAGGCCGATCCGATGCCGGGAGCCTGTCTCGGATTGCAAAATGGTGTTTGCGGTTGGCCCAAAGGTCGCGGTTTGGGCGGAACCAGTTTGATCAATTTCCTCATCTATACCCGTGGTCACAAGCGTGACTACGACGATTGGGAACGAGCAGGAAACACGGGTTGGGGCTACCGGGACGTGCTGAAGTACTTCAAAAAGTCAGAACGTATGAAAATAAACAAACTTAAACGATCTCCCTATCACTCTGGGGACGGTTACCTGGATATTGAACACTCGTCATTTGAAACACCAATGTTGCGATCGTTCATTGAAGCGGGCAAACAGTTGGGCTACATGGAGACTGATCCCAATGGAGAAAATTTGATGGGATTCTCGAAAGCGCAAGCTACTATGCGTAATGGAAGGCGGTGTAGTACGGCTAAGGCCTTTCTCAGACCCGCGGCTTACAGGCCGAACTTACACATATCCATAAAATCGAGGGTGATGCGAATTCTGATTGATCCAATCACAAAATCTGCTTACGGAGTCGAGTTCATAAAGAATAAGAGAAGATTTGCGGTAAAAGCTGGGAAAGAAGTCATCCTTTCGGCGGGAGCCATAGCTTCACCGCAGCTTCTAATGCTGTCGGGAGTTGGACCCAAGAAACACCTCCAGGAGGTAGGAGTTCCTGTGGTCAAGGATCTTAATGTCGGTTTCAATCTGCAAGACCACGTGACTTTACCAGGATTGGTATTCACCGTTAATCAGCCAGTTACAATTCGCGAAAGAGACGTGCAAGCTCCACCGATTGTGTTAGACTATTTGGTCAACGGAAAAGGGCCATTCACGCTACCTGGCGGTGCCGAAGGAGTGGCATTCATCAAAACGAACATTTCGTTATTACGTAAGAAATGGTCAATTTATCTCAGTGTAATATTAAACTTAGCTATTTTCTTTATCTGTAGCTCCGGACGTTCCGGATATAGAGCTGGTGCTAGGAACAGGTGCTTTCAATAACGATGATTCCGGTTCACTTCGTGCAGCGTTTGGATTGACAGCGGAATTCTATCAGAATACTTATGCTTCAATCAAGGGTGAGCATGCTTTCGCTATATCACCCGTTCTGCTGAAACCCAAAAGTAGGGGGCGAATCATGCTTAAGAGTCGGAATCCTTTTCATTGGCCCAGTATGCAGGGAAATTTCTTTCAAAACTACGATGACCTAAAAGTGCTGCGAGAGGGTGTAAAACTGGCTGTCCAAGTAGCAGAATCATCCAAATTCGCTAGATTCGGTGCTAGGCTTCATCAAACACCGTTCTATGGATGTGAAAATCATCGTTTTCAAAGCGACGAATACTGGGAGTGCTGTATCCGAAGAATCGGAACAAGTCTACAACATCAGGTTTGTACGAGAAATCATGAATGTGTTTCGAAATTGCCTAATATTTTAAAATGTTTTAGTCCGGAACGTGCAAAATGGGTCCGCCCAGTGATCAGAGCGCAGTCGTGAGTCCGGAGCTACTAGTCTATGGCATCCGAGGTCTTCGGGTGGCGGATTGTTCAGTAACGCCTGTGATACCAGCGTCCCATACGAATGCCGTAGCAATTATGATCGGCGAAAAGGCAGCCGATATGATCAAACAGTACTGGAATAATACTACTACTGTATTGTAATGTAGGGCGTCTGACACCTACGGTTCTCTTAAGCGGTTTTCTAGTCAAATGGAAATAATTATTCATGTCAGTTCCGTACGAACTCAAATCATGTCAGTCTTTTTTAAGATCTATTTTTAATTAGCTGCTCTATTTTGCTTCGCATCCTTTGAAAGTGTTACGAGATAGATAGAAAAATAAGTTTTTTAAAGTGCCTTAAACGAATGCCTTTTTATTTCTTTGACATTAAATGTTGACGTGACCGAGTCTACAGCGTGTAGTAATAAGAAATATATGCAACTTTAGTTGCATAGAAATAAAGTACAAGACTGTTCCCATGTAAATATTATATACCATTCGAGTTGCAATGATATTGTTCCGAAATTTAACCTTTATTCCAATTTAACATTTAGTCCAACTTGACCTTTAGTTCAATTTAATCTTCAGCCCAATATGCACAATGGGTATCTACGGTCCGGTTTTACAAGGAGGAAAAACTGAGTAAAGTCAAAAGTATTCGAGAGAAGTGCTACCGATGACTGGCGTGTGTCAGGGATCCCTGGTCAGAGTTTATACAACTCTATTCTTGTTCCCGTTCGAGCCGCATTTTGATACAAAAACGGGAAATGAGAATATGGGTGACATCCCAAGTAACAATCTTGATTTTTTTAGGGTTCTGTAGACCATGTTTTAGACTTGTAGAATGCTATAAAACCTCTATAAAGTTTGCAATGTTACTTGGGATGGTCTCATATTCGTAACGATCTAACAGTGTTTAAATTTATAAAATGCTAGGACACCATGATAGATTTAATTAATGGTAGCAGTGGTTCAGTGGCGCAGGCAGGGTTTCTGTCTGGATTGTAAATATTACATGAATATTTTTTTTTTTATAAATTTCTACTAATTTCGCCAAAAACAAGTTTCGCAATTCTAGGGAAACTTGTTCGATTTACCGGGCAACAGCTAAATGAAAGTCATACATTTTCACTGAAGATACACACTAAGGTTATTTTACCGAAATTTGTGAATTTTTACCGAAATCTCAACAGATGAACGGTCGGTAACCAGTTCGGTGGTTTTTCTCAGATTTTCTGTGATTTTTCACAGATACTCGATGAAAAATAACCGAAATGTTTACCGAACGTTCAGCTGTTAAGATTTCGGTAAAATTTCACAGATTTCGGTAAAATAATCTTAGTGTGTAGCCTAAACCGCCCAGGAAACCAGCCCCGAGAAATAAACTCTGTGTAGAACTATCATTAAATTTTGAGAATTTTCCAGTGGATGCTAATGGAAAAATCATGGATGCTAATGAAAGTTTAATAAAACTTTTAGAAGATACTGAGCAACTTTGTCGACATTCTGGAAAAGTCGAAGGACAAGTCGTAATAAATTTTCAGAGAAAGTTGAGAGAAACTCCGTGGAAGTCAGAAGAAACTTTCACGGGAAGCCGTAACAAACCTCATAGTAAAACTTGACCATGCTTCCATGGAATTACGAAAGGAAGAATCTTTCGGAGGAAGATAAAAAAAAACTGCCTGCAAAATCTTTCAACGGAAATCAGAAGTAACATCCGGAGGTAGTAATTAAAAAGTCCTGAAGGCAGTTAGGAGAAACCGGGGAAAGTTGGAAATCAAATTCTGGGGAAGTTGAATGACACTTCCTGGAGTAGTTGGATAAATCTTCTGAAACAAGCTATAAATAACTACTTTCGCAGAAGTAGGACGAATCTTCTGGGTTGATTTCAAGAAGAAATTCCGGGTAAATCAATTATTTAAACAAAATGTTTTAATTTATTGAATACTTTATGGTGATTATAAAGGAGTTCATAAAAGATCTTAATATAGCTAACTATCAACAATATAGAACAATATCGTAAAACAATATAAACCAATTTTCAACCTGCTTTCCCGTAGGCTTAAATCATCCAGCGGTGTTCTTGCTAAAATAAAGTAAATACAAATAAAATCAGTATTCGAAAATATTCCCGATTAGTATTTTGAGACTAATTCAGAAAATTTTCATGAGGGGATCATGAACAAGCATATATGTTGATAAAGGATTGAGTGCAAAGTAGTCATTAGCAAACATTGCTCAAACTGATTATATTTATGTTCATATAAAAAAGTGTGAAAGTCGACTCACATTTTGTATAAAAAGACAATTTTATATTTGCCTTAAGGCATGAGGGGGGGATGCAGGGGGTTGAACCCTTACCCCACCTTCGCTGCGTCAAAGATATTGTTTTAGATAAAAACACCCCAATATTGAAGACAGCTATTACAATACTAGCTTTAAATCACAAAAATAAATAAATAAATAAAAAACAAATGCATCATAAACATATAGTTAGAAAAAGCACTCGTAATTCACTCTGTTCATTACGAATTCTTTATATTTCTCAAAAGAATTCAGTACTTGTTCGCTAACTGGGTTGGCTTGTTAAAAATTAAAAAAAAAACGCTGAGAAGAGGATTTTTTTTTTGATCGACGTTAAGAAATTTCACGTGCATTGCATTGAAACAGTGTAAAGTTTGTTATTGTTATTTTAACAGCTTGCAAACCTGCAAGTTTAGAATGACTTATCGTTTTCGATAATAAGTCTTGATGTCAATGTGTTATGAAAATAATTTCAAAGTTAATTAATATTATCACTTAATAAAGACTGGAACCTGGGGACGACCCCGGCGTAGCTCTAATCTCACCCCGGACAAATCACGAATGACCCAAGCTTCTCTGAATTCTCTTTGATCTGCTCAGACGTGCTCCGAGGAATTTCGAGAAATTCTCCTAAAATTTCTTTGGAATTCTTCTCTGAAATTCGATTTCCATGGAATTATTCTTGGAACTCCCCTGATGCTGTAAATACTGTACAATCCCATACATTTAATTGTACTCACGGGCAAAAATCCGTTCCGAAATTCGTCAACCTCCAGTCACGATTTTCGGATCAAGTAAATTTTTCATTTACGAAAGTACACCATGAATAAAAATCATAAAATCGTGAACAAAATCCACAAAATAAACGTAACGCCTGCAAAGGCAACAAAAGTCATTGAATCGTGAACTATGTTCGGAAAATCATGATCTAGTTCTGTCAAACGTGATTTATGTTCATGTGTTGTGATTGATACCGTGAACCTTGTTCTCGAAAATGGGAACATGTTTCATGGACTGTAAAATGTAAACTTCATTATAATTACCAATATTTTAAATGGAGTGAGGAAGTGGAATGAAAACAACGCAAGGTTTTACCCGCATCCCAAACTGGCAGCAGGTATCTGTCGAGCAGATGGAATGAACACACTTTCAGCCGAGTTTTCAGCTCAAAATATCAACACCACCTTCGACTTCCATCGGAGCGGCGGGAGAAAGATGCGTTCGGGGATTCTTTTCTTCGAGGACGGCCAGTATGATGACATGTACCAGCCACTGTCATTGTGCCGGACCACCATGCTGATGATACGGCTCAGCTCACTCACTAATAATCGAGACACTATTCTCGACGGATCCGAGCACTCTATAAGGATAAAATCAACAACAACTGAAAATGACTGCTGCAGCATTCCATGTGACTCCCGCTCACGATTTCAGGAACGAAAATCACACTTATGGGTTCATGGATCACGAAATCATGATTTGATTTTGTGTTTTCTGTAGCGTTATGAAATCGATGGCGTGACTTAAGTTCATGGATTTGGAATTTATTTCACGGAAAGTTATTTATTCGATCACGTTTACGAGAACTGAGTCATGAATTCAAACGAACTAGCAGTTAATGCTTTCGTGATTTGTTGTTCACGAATACCGGAACGGTTTTTTTTTGCGTGCCGTAATCTGTAAGCCACGTTTTTCGTAAAAAGGCGTACCTCAAGAAAATTTTGAGAGACTTTAGACTCCCTCTCCCGCAAGGTTCAAGGATCAGGACAGTTCTCGATCGTTGGTAGTAGTATCACTTTCAGCTTTAAGTGATAGTGATTAATCAAAAATTACTGCCTATGAGGTAACAGATGAACGCCTTCATCACTTGTTGAATAATCTAGAACTTGTATCACCTATATTTGTGGAATTTTTCTGATATCAGACGACGTTTTTCGCTATTTTCAAACGCGGTTATTGACCAGAAAGTAGAACACCAGCATCAAGAAAAAAAACATAACAATAGAACTCTTCTTCCTGGTGCGGGGGTGGAGCATCAAACAATAGAAACAAAAATTGACCGGAGCACAAACCGACTAACGCAGCATGACAAAAATAGGATGACAATTTCACTAGTCTGCTCGAGCACAATATTAAAAAAAAATAATTAAAGCAACATCTTGACTAACTCTCATTTTCACACAGTTGCTGCTCCAAATTGATCGGGAAGGGTTATTAGAATGGTTCGAACATCTTTACCAAGAAAAGCGGTTTTTATAGAATAATTATTCTAAAACTTAAAATATAAGTTGTTTTTCATATCTGTAAGTATTCAAAATAATTCGATTGCCGTACCAAAATCCGTACACTTCATACAGAATACCTACTTTTCTCATGAGGTGTCCAGATTTCGGTCCTCTATTGTACGCCCTTTATATCATCAAACACCCAATTTATTGAATACACCATTTTGGAAATAAAATACCAAATTCGCCAGTTTGAACATCAACCAAATTGCAAATTGTCATTATTATAATCATACAACAATATTGCATCGTCAAAAAGAGCACATCTAATTCCATGGATACCAAAATTAATTAAGTGGAATTAAATGAAAGACAATCTTTATTGCTGTTTTATTTAAGCATTCCGCTAACAACCCAATTTCATTACTTCGCCAAAAAGAGATGAAACATTCAGAGGTAGGTTATCGCACCAAAAGACACGAGCCTGGATGTTGGCCTGTGGAAAATATGAATTTGTATTTTAGTCGTAATCTAGTTGATACGTTGCATAAGCTGTCTGTATTTTGTAGCAATATGCGAGCAGATTGCACATAATTAATTAATATTTCCATAATGCTAACTTAACGGCGCCGGTGGTGTAGTGGTAAGCGTGATTACCTCTCACCCCAGAAGGCCTGGGTTCAATCCCAGTCGGCGCCGCCGGGATGTTATGAGGCATAACATCTCTGATCACGCCTTCCTTCGGATGGGAAGTAAAGCCGTTGGTCCCCGGTTCATGAGTTGATGGGTCGATAGGTAGGGTCCAGGTGTGGGAGCTGCCTTCCTGGCACGTCGGTAGCATTGGTACTCAGCACGGAAAACAATAATGCTAACTTGAATCATTATGCTGTCTTCAGCAGGGTTGTTCCTTATCTTCAAGCC